CACATTACTGTTTATCAACTTTCTGCTATTAGAATTCACATTACTGTTTATGTAATTATATTTCACATTACTGTTTATCCTCCCTTCTGAAGAGCATATGAGCTGCATATTTATAGATTTGTTCAAATTTACTATGCAGTACATTTTTTCAAATTTTTCATGAAAAATATAAACTAATTCCTTTGGTTCTCTGTTTCTCGGTTTTGTATTCGTCCTCAAAACATTTGTACAAATATAAACAGGGGACAGAAGGGGTTGAAAAAAATTTATTTCGAACTAAAGTTATTTCGAATTACCAAAAACAGTTTCACTTGCAAAAAATGGATTTCTTTCTCTATTACTACAACTCAGCTACTATGCAGCAGATTTGCATATCAAATCTCCTGCTATATTAGTGATTTTGCACCATCTGCTAAAGATAATCAGGATTCCAAGCCTGAGGCTATAAGAGGGATCTCTTTAACTTCTGTATTTGTAAACTCAGAACCAGTTCGGGAGGATCAAGTCCAAAATGCCATCAAGTTTCTTTCACATCCAAGAGTTAGGGGATCTCCTGTCATGTATAGGCGTTTTTTTCGAATTACCAAAAAAAGTTTCACTTGCAAATCTGATTTTTTTTCTCTATTACTACAACTAATTAATTTGTTTAACTCTACTGTTTACGACTATAGTTAATAGTTAATATAAATTACCATTAATACAAATCATAACATTGCATAGTCGGCATAAAGGTTGCACCAGAAGACATGTAACACGATGCAACATTATGTACTCATCACGTTGTTTAATACTGCCAAAAACATCAATCTATGCTTCAGTCTATTATGTAATGTAATTTTTTTTGTAGGGCGATCGCATAAGTGCTTCTACTGGCAAGTCAGTTTTGCATCTTTTCAAAACACAAATTACTGAGCTTGGATTATATAATATGGCGAACTTTATTGTTTGTCATAATAAGGAGAAGTTCAACACCACGAAACATAGGTTGAGGCTGACGTTTACTCAACGGACAACAATGGCTGAAACAACTGATTCACTTTTCCCAATCAATATCTTTGATTTGCGACCATATGATCAATTGATAAATAAGGTTGACGTGAACAAGGCTGAATTATTTGGTAAATAAAGATTTTACGTTAATTTTCTAATTATGAATTTATCTACTATTTATTTTAACAATTTCTTTTTCTTTAGATGTCATCGGAGAAATTGTCAATTTCAGTGAGGTACAAACGCAAAACCAAGGTGGAATTTCTAGGAAGTTTATGGATATTGAACTAGAAGATGACGAGTAAGAATAAATATTCATCTACTAATTAAGGATTGATTTGATAATTACATATGCTAAAATTACATTCTTATTTCTATTTGACAGGAGGAAGAAGTTGTCTGCTACATTTTGGGGGGAGTTTATTGATGAAATTATTCCTCATCTACTAAGTGCTAACAACCAGCCTATTATTGTTGTTATGCAGCTCATAAAAGCCAATAAATATCAAGGTAAAATACAATTACTCAATTTAACATTACTTTGTGAAAGTTATTCATTATATCTTACACGAACGTTGTTTTGTAGATTCATATTCTGTGCGCAATACATGGAATGCATCAAAGCTGTGGATTAATCCAAATTTTCCTCAATCTGATGAATTTAAAACACGGTTCAATATATATATTGATTTATTTATATAAAATTTCACTGCTTCTATACTCAAATCAAATTTTCCAAGTATACATCTAACTATTTTAGTTATTCATAAATACAGATTACTTTCTGTTCGGGATAATAACTCCGAGAGGCTGACTCAAACCATCTCTCAACAAAGTTACTCTGTCTCGGATGAGTTGGAGAAGGGCATTGTTCAAGTTAAAACAATTGGCCAATTAGTGGAGTCCATGCAAGTGAGTGACGTAACTTCTGTAGTATTAATTTAACTGTTGTTTCAGGTTAAAAGTTGCAAAAATGCACATATTTGTTTCTCTCATTTTATGGTTTGAAAAAGGCAGTTTTTAAATTTAGGTAAAGATGCACAGAAGATAGTGAACAACCAATGAAGAAACTCTAGCAGACAAATAGAGGGAAAAGAACAAGTAATTGTTCATTATCTACATGCTAAATGATTGAGCAGTAGTATAGCAGGATTGAAATTAAGATATAGATTATGTATTCCTTAAGTCAACTATGCTAACACCATTTAAGTTATAGCTAGATAAACTGACTAGAGGCCACAAACAAATTAAAGACTAGAAGTAGTTCAAATCTTCTTTGTCATCTTTAATGGGATAGATTCCTAATAAACAACTACCTAGCCTAATATGTAATCCCCAGTAGACCATCTACCAGATTACTACATTATTATATAGACCTCATATGATCTCAGAACCTCAGTCTCCTACATGTATAATGCAGCAAGCCACATGCGAAGAAAATCGCACAATAGTAACAATTCGACTTATCTAGAAAATCATCGCAACCAGAAAGAAGATTATAGCTCAATTTATCTATATTTGAACTCTTAACTGATATAAACTAATTTGCGTTCCTTGCGATCAACGGCATGTTGGCACAGTACCTCTAAATCCTAATCCATATCATATAGGTACCTATCCTTTCCTCATGTCACTGAGTCGCCACATGGACCATTTTTTTTATGTCTTTACATTACATATGAAGTTTATTTTTGGCCTTTAGTCCTCTTATTTTATGGTTTTAAAGAGTGTTTCCTCATTTGGAAGATGAAAAATTCTTCAATTACATTTATGTTATTTCTTTGATATTATGATTGACCATATTCTCTATGTCTTTTCATTACATTTGTCTTATCAATTTATTCAACAATTGTCTTATCACTTTATTCAACAGGAAGGTCCATGTTGGATTGTCGCAAGTATTGAAAATTTAGAACTTGAAAAAGGATGGTCGTACGTTAGCTGCAAGAAGTGTCAAAAGAAGGTGGATAAACTAGGAAACATTTATTAATGCCCAAACCCCAAATGTAAACATGAAGATTACTCGGCAGTTATTAGGTAAAATCAGCAGCTCTATTTCCTTAATCCATCAAAATATTACATTTATATCTCAAATCAACTGTGCAATTAGGTACAAGCTTCAGGTTAGAGTAATGGATACTACTGGATCTGTTTCCCTATTGCTCTGGGACCGTGAAACCAGGTTTCTTATAGGCAAATCAGCAAAAGAATTGAAAGAAGGGTTTCTTGAGGTATATCAACTAATTAAGTTTATATTTGTTATTTGCATAATTCTAACTTAAAATTTCATTCTAGAATACTGGTGCTGTTGATAAGTATCCCTATCCAGTAGAGCTGAACAATATTCTCCAAAGAAAATTCATGTTTAAGGTTATTATCAAGACAAAGAACATTCACCAGCAAAAGGAAGTTTATAGTATTGTTAAGCTTACGGATGAGGAGCAACTGATAAACAAATATAGTCCTGCTCAACCTTCAGATGACTTAACTGTATGTCATATTTCTTCACAAACTTCATAACATATTTAGATTGCAAATTTCTTTTATATTGCATAATTTGAATCATAATTTCAAACTCATTTATTTATTATTTTTTGATAGGAACCTGACTTCAATAATATTCAAGTCTTAGATGGAGAGAAGGAATGCGAGGTAAATACATAACTAATTTGTCCTTTAACATTAAAACGACTTACATATCTTGAAGGATTTCTTTCTGAAAATTTTTCAGATTTGGAGTAGTTTTTTTATAACTTTAAAAGTTCTAGATGTTCACTTTGTTTTTTCTATGGGAATCTATGAACACAGTATTAATATTTCATAGAATAAGATAAGAAAACTTGTTAAGCAAGCTTAATTATACTGCCTCTGTATAAATTTATTTCCACTTTCAATACATATAAACAACTGTGAAGTGAAAATATGGAGAGAAACCAGAAAACTACTGCTATTGCTACTTTTTACTCCTCAAATCATACCTGGCTCATTGGCAATTTGTCGAAAATCTTGTGTTTCCTCTTCTGTTGTACTCACATTTCACCCTTCCCATCATTCTCTGCGGTTGGGAAAAACGGACCAACTATATTCTGGATCTCTTCCGTTGTACTCACATTTTCACCCCTCCCATCATTCTCTGTTGTAGGCAATAACGGCCCAATTATATTCTGGCGGCAAGAGGCAGCTTCCTTAAGCTTCTTTCGTCATAGCCTCTTTCTCTGGGACCTTGTGAGCTTCTCATCAGTCCCATGATTAGACGCTTGGTCGCCAGAGGAGGAAGAGCCCCATCGTCTTCCACTTCATCTGTATATAAAACCCAATTACTAAAAATGCATTGGTAAGTAACAACTGCAGGCACTAATTTTGCACTAAATTTTTATTTTATATATGCAGGATTCCACTGAAGATAACGATACAACCGATATTGCACATACACCTGACCAGATAGGTATAACTAATGTTGCAACAATGGTTGAAGAAGATCCGAATGCACAATTGTCAGGAAATAAAATGAAGAGAGTATTTAAGAAGAAGAAAACAACATAATGTGTTCGGGAATGTTACAGTTGGAGAAATCAAGAACTATTTTATGAGTTCATTTAGTATATTATTACTACTCTTCAGGAATGTCTATACCTGACAAGCAGTATGTAATGAGGGATTGGATTATGCTTATTTATGCACCAAACAGAACTGAAAGACTTGAGTAAACATGATAAGAATATGTATCATGGGGATTGGATTATGCATTTTTTAAGCGCACCAAACAAAACTGAAAGAATTGAGTACATAGGGTAAGATAAGAGAATTGTTATATATGAAGAGTTCATCCTCAACAATTTATAAAGCTAATGAATTGTCCATGTCCCTTGGACATTTCAATGTCAGAGCCAGCTTCACAATTTCAGAAGTAAAATCTGTAGAAATTGGCTATTTGTACTTAAGAGTCAACTCTATGAGTTATGCTGAGTTTTTGTCATAGTTGACAATAGCCATTCTTGAGATTTACTCTATATATATAAGTGATTACCTATAATTTGAATCTCTTAACTGCATTGATGGAACTATATCCATTTTCCACATAGGCTGTCAACTTTTCCAACTGAACTACGTTATTAGAATTCACATTACCTTATTAGTTGATAGCTACGTTAATGCAAAAGAAAGCCAGATGCCATTTGCAACAATCACAGAACATGGAAAATTGGGAAGTTCTTAAATGATCAATACTCATATAATGCAGGACACATTACTGTTTATCAACTTTCTGCTATTAGAATTCACATTACTGTTTATGTAATTATATTTCAGTAAATAGTCAAGCAAGTATAGTTGCTGGATTGATCGCATCCCTACTCTTGCCAAAAAGGTTTGGACTGAGAACAATCCTCTACTGCTACAAGGCCAGAAGTTGCCATGGAAGGCTGTTAATCACGCTCTGGTCACATAGCCACGCCTCATCAACTAGACTTGAAATTAAATTCATTTCTTTAATTAGTTTACATATAACCTTTAAACTTTAACATTAAAAAGGAGGAAGAATAAAGGAAAAAAAATACAAACATTTGAAACGTAAATAAAATAAGAGAAAATGTTAATATTGAGTCATTTTGGGCAGCAAATTTGTTAATCACGCAGCGAAGCGAGGGTCAGTTTGTGAAACCGGCACCGGAGCATAAGAGACAAGAAAAGTCTTGGACAGCGAAGCCAGGGTCACTTCGCGATATCGGGTCAGGAGCAAAAGAAACCAGAAAAGTCCCGGACAGCGAAGCGAGGGTCACTACTACGAGTCCGGTACTAGAGGAGAAAAGTTTAGCTTCTCATATTAAAGAAAAGTTAAAGGAATATCATATTTTTCAAATATTGGACAATATTTTGCCGCAACATATTTTCAACATGAAAAATCATATGTTGCATGGTGTAGAGGGATATCATTGTCGATAAAAAGAGTTTTTGGTCGCAACGAACCAACCAAAGTGTCAGAAAGGAACATAAGCAAAAAAAAATACTATCTACAAAGAACTGTTAGTTATGATATTAAATTGAAGCATTTAAATGATTATTGCATTTTTCACCCCTTTATTAATAATTTTTATTCGCTTGTGCGCGCGAGTGTGTGTATATATATACTTTCTAGCAAATTATCTCATACTTGCTCGACGAAACCACAAATTTACTTTTCACCTTTTTATTATGAGTTTAAAAATACCCTCAGCGAGAGGCGGATAATATTTGACCAAGAGTCTAAACAAGAACAAAATTGCTCGATTTCAACTAATATATAAATAAATTAGACTATTGTCCCATGTTTAAACGCAATTGATTTGAAAATATTATGGGAAACACCTATTAGCAGAAGTAAATGTTAAGGTATATCGGATAAAGCAAAAGAAACACAACTTTTTAAAATACACTATTTCTTTCTCCTCAACAAATCTAATTCTATTTACGTTGTGTTACATACCAAAACTGAAATTCAATATTACCGATCTGGAAGAAGAAAATACTTGGATTTATATTAAAATATTGATTTAGTTAAAAAAATTAGATGAAATAAAAATACCCCATTAAAAGCGGAAAAGAGGCGCCCCTGTTTCGTCTACTGTAAAGACACTCCTTTACAACTTCTACTGTAAAGACACGCCTTTACAACTTCTCAGCCCTAAGACAGTTTCTACTCAAATTTGACATGGAAGAGGAGAAGAAGCTCGCAAGAAAAAATCGGATGAACACCTTGAAGCAGAAAAGGCCGAAATATTGTTCGGATAATAATGGTATGAACTTTTATGCACTATTTCTTGAAACAGACTCTGTGGTTAATGATTACAAATACCACATTTCGGTTATATATGATTTTCGTCGGGCAAATTTCCTTTGAGTCGCACTAATGTCCTGAGACTCCGTTAAACCTGAAATTGTGCGCATTGCGTTGTATATTAACTGTATTGGTTAGTACTAGATAATTTGAAAATCATACCACCAAGACTCTTCGCAGCATCCTTGAGACTTCCAGCAAAATACTGTTGCAAAACCTCTAAGCTTATTGTTTTCTACGCTTTTCCACGTTTTCTCTCTGATTTCTTACCAGTGCCTTTATTCTCCTTGAACGAGCTATGATTATGGGCTTCATCTGTACCATTTACGCCCTCTGCAACTTTTGCAACATTCAATTCCACAGGGGACTCTTGCTTTTTTATTAGATCAGGACGCACCCTTCCTTCATTGAAAGAACACGCCTTTTCTTTTTTTTTAGTCTATTTCTAAAGTTGTATGTACGGCTGGGCATATATAGGATAAAGCCGGTAGCTCGAAACAGACTCTGTGTTTAATGCTTCCAAATACGACATATTTCCGAACTACTGTTCGGTTATATATGATTTTCGTTGGGCAAATTTCCTTTGAGTCGCACTAAAGTCCTGAGACTCAGTTAAACCTGAAATTGTGCGCATCGCGTTGTATATTAACTGTATTGGTTAGTACTATATAATTTGAAAATCATACCACCAAGACTCTTCGCAGCATCCTTGAGACTTCCAGCAAAATACTGTTGCAAAACCTCTAAGCTTATTGTTTTCTCAGCTTTTCCACGTTTTCTCTCTGCTTTCTTACCAGTGCCTTTATTCTCAGAGAACGAGGTATGATTATGGGCTTCAGTTGTATCATTTATGCCCTCTGCAACTTTTGCAACATTCAATTCCACAGGGGACTCTTGCTTTTTCATTAGATCAGGACGCACCCTTCCTTCATTGAAAGAACACGCCTTTTTTTTTTTTTTTTTTTTTTTTTTTTTTTTTTTTTTTTAGTCTATTTCTAAAGTTGTATGTACGGCTGGGCATATATAGGATAAAGCTGGTAGCTCGAACCTAAAAAAAACTTATTGGGTTATTGGTATCAGGTTATTGGGTTAACAGTTTCTCTATGCATTCAAGGAAGCCGGCGATCCATCATGTAATACTTAAGCCTGTAATGAGTCATTGTCTTGCTTCTTTTTGTTGCGGAAGCCAAATGTATATAGTGTGAATAAGTCACAACTACTATACCAAAATTATGACAGCCACCAAATAATAAATAAGACAATAAAGCAACAATAAAGGGAACACCAGAATTTACGAGGTTCGGCTAATTTTGCCTACTCCTCGGACACAACCAATATTTTATTTCACTCCAAAAATACAAGTGAAATAATACTAAAGAGAGAAGATACAAATGCCTTAAACAGATGAGAAGGCAAATGAGAGGTGTGTTTCAATCCTAAACATTAGGCCTTCTTTTATAGGGGAAAAATCCCCCCCAAACTTAACTCCCAACCAATGTGGGACTTTGGCATTTTGCCAAACTTCAACACTTTTTCCCTATAAAAATAAACGTGAAATATTTTGTCCGATGCTTATTTGTTTTGTGAATTATGATCATTTTCTGGTGTAGCTACAGGAAAAAAGAATGAAGAAAGTTAATAGTTACATAAACATACTTGCAAATCTCATATTTTACCATGCAAACTTTTGGGCAGCCACTATTTTTTTTTGGAGATAGTGTTTACTTTATTCTTTTGCCAATATTCTTACCATTTTCAAGACTATAATTCTGACCTAAGAGATATATAAATATGTAATTTTCCTCCATTGTTCAGTGAAAGCAAGGGCAATTCGTCTTAGTTATTGTCTAAATTACAAAAGTTGACAATTGTTACCATGTAGTAGGATTATTTTAGAACTGATGTGTTATGAGTGGTTTAAGCATTTGCATTTAGGTATTCTTCGCACTTTAATATCCATGAGATGTTAGTTTTATGTATAAGTTCTGTGAATGATATTGCATTTTTTTTTCTTTGTCCAAAAGGCATACCATTTGAGTGATGTTTATCTCTTTCCTGGTACTGATGCAATACCTATACTTTATAGCATTTACATCACAATCTATAAGTTACTTACTTAGATCTGCCAATGATGTCTGATCTTTGCTCTTATATTTTCCAGCTTTACGGACTGATAGGATAGAAAATTCATGTTCTACTTCTACAGGCTAATATCGTGAATCATTTTGCACATTGACTTTCTTATAGTGACCACTAAATTAGATGCCTTCATGTCTTCCTATTGAACTGATGATTGTGTCCAGCAAAGTCAAAAAAAATTATTTTTGTTGTTTATTAATAGCTCAAGCTTATTTAAACTCGCCATTCTTCAAATTTTTTAGGCTTTTAATCATTTTGAATTATTTAACTTCTGCCTTTGTATTATTAGCGGTTGGTGCTTATAGTTTTTTTTTGTGTTTGTACCTGCCTGCTTATTCTATCTAAAATTTAAGATTAAATCATTAAGTTTCTTTCTCCTACCTTGATTTGTACTTTGCAGCAACTACGCTTTGTAACATGGCAAGGTTCTTCATCTATTTAACAAACTAATAATCCTTTTGTTATTATTGTATGGGATGTAAACGCTTTTTATAAAAGAATAATCCTCTAAATATGAAAACTATAAATATTTTGAATAAAAATAGGTATGCTAACCTAGGATACAAGTTGCTTTTATGGTTTGGTCAAAAGTGAAATTACTTGAATCAATACTGTCTTATAACGTATATTTTACCAGAGTATTAGGAATTCAATATAATATGGACATTAGTTTGTGACATGATTGAGAAATTAAAGCGTGCAACTCCAACGACATTTAATTAAATTTCTTTATATCTACTTGTGTACACAAAGGTTTCGCTACAAAATTAGTATATATGTTTATAATATCAAAGTTATTCAATTATATATTTTAGGCATTCATTTACTCCAAATTTACAGTCCCTTATGAGTGTCAAGAATGGCTGTATTAGCAATTGTTGGTGTAACGTCATATTGCTGATATTTTATTCCAATTTTTTTTTAAGCTGATTTGTATGTTTTATGGTTTGCATACTTTATTTGTCCTGTTAC